TTTTGTAGTGTAGTTTAATATTAGGTAATGTGATCCTTCCAACTTTTGTGGTTCCATATAAATTTTTGGAATTTTTTTTTAGTTCTGTGAAATATGCCATTGCTATTTTGACAGAAATTGCTTTGAATCAATAGATTGCTTTGGGTAGTATGGACATTTTGATGATGTTAATTCTTCTGTCCATGAACACAGTATATGCTTCCACTTTTTAATATCTTCTCCAATTTCTTTCTTCATAGTCTTATAATTTCCTGAGTGCAGGTCTTTTAACTTCTTGGTTAAATGTATTTTATTTTTTTATGCAGTTGTAAATGGGATTGTTTTCTTAGTTTCTCTTTCTGATAGTTCATTAGTAGTGTATAAAAATGCAACTGGTTTCTGAATATTTAGTGTTTACCCTACTACTTTACTGAATTTCTCTACAAGTTCTCATTGTTTTTGGTAGAGTCTTTAGGGTTCTTTATATACAGTATGATGTCATCTGCAAATGACAGTTTTACTTCTTCCTTTCCAATTTGGATACCTTCTTTTTTCCTTCTACTTGTCTGATTGCTGTGGCTAACACTTTCAGTATGTTGAGTAAGAGTGGTGAAAGTGGACATCCCTGTTTTGTTCCCAATCTTAATGGAAACACTTTTAGTTTTTGCTCATTGAGTATGATGTTGGCTGTGGGTTTGTCATACATGGCCTTTATTACATTAAGGTATGTCCCCTCCATTCCCACTTTTTTGGTAGTTTTTATCCTAGGTGGGTGCTGGATTTAATACTTTTCCTACATCTATTAATATGATTGTGATTTTTATCCTTCATTTTGTTTATGTGGCATATCACATTTATTGATTTTCAGGTATAATACCAACCATGCATTCCAGTAATAAATCCCACTTGACCATAGTGTATGAACTTTGTAATGTATTGCTGGATTTGGTTAGCTAATATTTTGCTGAGGATTCAGCATCTGTGTTCATCAGGGATATAAGCCTATACTTTTTTTTTTTTTTGTAATATCTTTATCTGGTTTGGAATTAGGGTAATGCTGGCCTTGATAATGAGCTTGGGAGTCTTCCCTCCTCTTGAATTTTTTGGAATAGTTTGAGAAGGATAGGTGTTAGTTCTTTAAATGTTTGGTGAAATTCACCTGTGAAGCCATTCAGTCTATGGCTTTTGCTTGTTAGGAGTCTTTTTTTAAAAAATTACTGCTTCAATTTTATTAATTGTAATCTGTCTGTTTAGATTCTCTGATTCTTCCTAATTTAGTTTAGGAAGATTGTATATTTCTAGGAATTTATCTATTTCATTCAGATTGTCTGATTTGTTGGCCTATAGTTGTTCATAATATCTTCTTACAATCCTTTGTATATCTGTGGAGTTAATTGTTACTTTTTCTCTTTCACTTCTGATTTTATTTTTTTGGGGTCCTCTCTTTTTTCTTGGTGAGTCTGATTAAAGATTTTTCAATCTTATTTATCTTTTCACAGAACCAGCTCATGGTTTCATTGATGTTTTGTATTGCATTTTTAGACTCTATTTTGTTTATTTTTGCACTTATCTTTATTATTTCCTCTCTTCTACTGACTTTGGGCTTTGTTTGTTGTTGTTTTTCTAGTTCTTTCCAGTGTAAAATAAGATTGCTTATTTGTGATTGTTCTTGTTTGTGGAGGTATGCTTGTAATGCTATAAATATTACTCTTAGGGCTGATTTGCTATGTCCCATAGATTTTGGGTTGTTGTGTTCTCATTTTCAATTGCTTCAAGATATCTTTTGATTTATTCCTTGATCTCATTGTAACCCATTCATTGTTTTGTAACATGTTATTTAGCCTCCATGTCTTTGTGTGTTTATAATGTTTTGTTTTGTTTTGTTTTGTTTTTCACTTGTAATTAATTTCTAGTTTTATATCATTATGGTCAGAAAAATGCTTAATATGATTTTGATCTTCTTAAATTTATTGACTTATTTTGTGTCCTAACATGTTATATCCTAGAAAATGTTCCATGAGGCCTTGAGAAGAATGTATATTTTGCTGCTTTGGAGTGCTTTGAAGATATCAATTAAATTCATCTTACGTAGTGTGTCACTTAAGGCTAATGTTTCCTGCTTGATTTTATTTCTGGAAGATATATCAAATGTAAATGGGCTGTTAAAGTCCCCTACTATGACTGTGTTACTGTCCATCAAGATTTGCTTGATATATTTAGGTGCTCATATGTTGAGTGCATAAATATTTACAAAAGTTCTATCAATTGCTTCCTTTGTCATTATGCGGTATCCTTCTTTGTCTCTTACTGTCACCTTTGTTTTAAAATTTATTTTGTCTGATATAAGTATTGCTACCCCAGCTTTTTGTTGTTGTTACTGTTCTTTGTTTCCATTTGCATGAAGTATTTTTTCATTCCTCTACTTTTAGTCTGTGTGTATCTTTCATTCTGAGGTGGCTCTCTTGTGGAAGCATATATACGGGTCCTCTTTTCTTATCCGTTCAGCTATCCTATGTCTTTTGATGGAGCATTTAAGCCATTTACATTTAAAGTATTTATTTACAGTTACATGTTTATTGCCATTTTATTCTTTTAATTATGTTCCTATGTTTCTCCTTCTCCTTCTCTTCCTCCTCCTTCTCTTCATCCTCCCCCTCACTCTTTTTTCTCATCTTCTTCTTGTCTCTTTAGCTTTTCTTGTCACTCCTTTATCTTTTTCTTGTCTGGGAAATATTGGTTGTGATTATTGAACATATTTAGTAGCTGTGATGATCTGATGTTGGGATGATTTAGAATAAAAAAATTGTTCTTCCTATGTCACTAATTCCTCTTATTTCAGTCACTTAAAATCTCCTGGCTATCTGTGGTGGTGGGTGATAAGTTACAAATGGATGTCAGAGGGCAAATTTGACTGCCCTTTTCCTTTATTAGTGCAGGGAAATTAGCCAGAATGCTGCTTGTCTTGGTACTAACCCACCACTCAGATCAATTTGAAACCATTTTTAGTTTTAATACTTTTCTTGCCTACTAATGATATATATATATTTTTTTATCCTCACCCGAGGATATTTTTCCATTTTTTGTACAGATAGAGTGGGAGGGAGAGAGAGAGAAACATCGACGTGAAGGGACACATCGAGCGGCTGCCACCCGCACGACCAACCAGGGCCGGGGACAAACTGCAACCGAGGTACGTGCCCTTATCGGGAACCGAACCCGGGTCTCTCCGGACCGCAGGCTGATGCTCTAACCGCTGAGCCAAACTGGCCAGGGCTCTACTGATGATATTTGAAGTGAAATTAGGCCACAAACATATTATCATGTCTAAGTTAAAAACCCTCTGACATGTTCACTGCTCTAATTGATGGGCAGAAAGTTCTGCTCTTAAGAAAGCGACTATCTTGGATTCATACCAAGAAGTGTTACAAGGTCACAAGCCCCAAGTTCACAATTTTCCTGGTCACATGTTCTGTGGCCATGGTTGTATTGTTCATCACCCTTTCCTGACTCCATACTATGCTGGTTTGATATTTTCACCCATCCATATAATGAAAAAAACAAGTTATTGATTCATTAATAACATGTCTTTAGGCTATACCTATAGAATGCCAACTACATAGCTGGAAATAGGGAAAAGTCAATTATCTTTTTTTTTTTTTTAAAGAACTTAACACACTCTGATGTTCACATTAATATTGTGATATGTGCTTTCCTGGGCAGTGTGTCAGACTTTTGTTCAGTGAGTTAATCCTCCTGGTATCCTGGTATGTTCATGTTCACTTTTCAATCTTTACTCTGGCAGATGACATTTAAGAAGCACAGCTTTTCTCTGTTATGACAGTTCATGGAGGTGAATGGAAGGTGGGGCTTTATTTCTTTTTGTTAATCCTCACCCGGGGGTATTGTTTCCATTGATTTTTAGAGAGAATGAAAGGGAGGGAGGGAAAGGGAGGGGAGAGAGAGAGAGAGAGAGAGAGAGAGAGAGAGAGACATTGATGTGAGAGAGACACATCGATTGGTAGCTGCCCCCATGAACCCCAGCTGAGTACATGCTCTTGACCAGGAATTGAACCCACAACCCTTTGGTGCATGGGCCGATGTTCTGACCATTGAACCATTGTGGCTGGGGGGGGGGGTACTTTATTTTGAGATTGTACCTTCTTATTCTTATTCCTGCTCATCATTCTCTTGTATTCCTAAAATAATTGAGTTGGCCTTTAAGTCAAAGTGCCATCTCCCTATAAAAAGAGAAGGAACCCATACTGCAGCCCTGAGCACAACCTGGGTGAACAGCCCCCACCTGTTTTTAGAGTTAATGGCCAGTCTTTTCTAGAACCCTGCTCCTTCCTGACCATTGCCATGGGAGAGCTGGGCATGGCTTTCAGGTCTGTAGGGCTGTACTTCCCTCTGTGTCTGGTGTTCTTCTTGGAACATGAATTCTTTTTTTGGCCAGGATCTGGGAAGTAAATGATGATAAGCTCAAAAGGAGTATTGGGGGATAGCTTCATGAAGTGTCTATTTAACAAGAAGTGGGCAGGATGAGGGAATCAAGAGAAAATGGTGATGCCCCAGAGAGTAGCCATAGTGAAGGATCATTGCCACCCCTTTGCCAGAAGGGGCAATAGAGGTCAGAGCCACCCCAACACTGTGCAGTAGAGGGGGCACTTGACAGGAACTGTGGGCCAGGAGACAACTAGGGGAATAAGTGCCCTGATTTCTCCCCTCCTGCCCTTTAACCGCCTGCTGTTGGCCAAGTCCACCTTGAAACCAAAGGCCAAGGGAGCTAGGTCTGGCCTTCTGAGGCACAGAGCAAGGGTGGTGGAGTAGGGTGGGGGTGGGGGGAATATCTGGATTGTGGGTCAGGAGGGACAGGAGGAGAATTTCCAGCACATTCAGTTTTTCTTTTTTGACAGAGAACAAAGTGTGTTTTCTTTGTTTTACAGAAATGGATTCTTTGGAAAGCCAGAAAAAACAAATCTTGCCAATAATTAGGTACTGTTTAGAAATTCATTAGAACCAGACTTTGCACCAGGAGAGAGATCGGCCTGAACATTTTATAAAGGTTTACTGTTCCCGCATTTATTTTGATTAACATTTCTTAATTTTTTAATTTTATTTTTAAAACATCCTATACATATTTAACTATACCAAGCACTGGATAATTTTATTCTGTTATGATTCACACAATGAGAAGAGAATTTTTAAAGACCTTCTCTTTTGTGATTGCTGGAGTGGTAGATTAAGGGACATACCTTGTGATGCTCTAGCTTTTGAGAAGGTCGTTGACTCTCTGTTTCTCCTCACTCCATGGCTGGGTTGGAAAGCAACAGAGCAGCAGGCTGCCACAATTGCTTTGTGCCCCCATGCCAAGGCACATGGTCACCAACAGAATAATTTTCTTTAATTTATTCATGCAAGATTGCCCCAGATAGAAATGTGGAACATACAAGATGACATGGGTATGCAACCACATTGTATGTTGCCTGCACAAACTTCTGCAGAATAAACAAGAAAAACATTGATGTGTATTTAGACATCCTCAGAGCCTTATTGTGACACTTTATGTAGTATAACCTCAGACTTTACTTGCATTCTAGCTTGCTTCCAAGACAAGATGTCACTTCAGGACATCTTGTTCTGCCTTGATGACTATTTATTTCACTTACATATGGTCTTTATCATCAATATATTATTAGAATGGTACTGACTTGAACTTGTCTGCTCTCCAGCCTTAGTACCCTCTATTGCACTCTTGGCTTACTATACTTTACTGATCTAAACATGTATCCTTATTCTGTCCACTTTTCTGAAAGGCTGTGTAGAGCTGAGTTCATTCATTCAATGTACATTTATTGGTCATCCACCATGTGTTCCAGGACATAAGGACAAGGAACAGAGAAGTCAGTTTCTGCCCTCATGGAGCTGCCATATAGGGTGAGAGATGGATGGTGAAGACAAACATACTTAGGTAGATATAATGTATGCTAGAAAGAGATAAGTGACACGTGAAAAAAATGAATGAGGTAAGAGGGATCAGGAGTTGAGGGAGTGTAGGGTGAGTTGCAATTTTAAATCGAGGTAGAAGTCTTTGAGAAGGGGACACTTGAGCACTCTGTGAAGAAGGTGCAGGAGGGAATCATGGATATATCTGAGGACAATAATATATCTTCCTGAGGATATATCTCAGGAAGAGGGGACTGGAAGGGAAGGGGCCTGAGGTGGACACATGCTTGGTGTGTACTGTGGATGGTACAGAGTCAGTGTGGCTGGAGAGGATTGAGGAGGAGAAGGGATGAGTGGGAACAGGTCATAGGGATATGCAGAACCTTGGGCCTTGGAGGCCACTGTAGATCCTTTTCACTGTGGACGTTGGGCCACTTCTTGCTCTAAGAAGTGAGGTAACCAGAATCAAGCAGAATATTGAATTGATAATAAAATGTAGGGGGTATAGGTAGAAATTGGAAGACTTCAGAGACTACTGAAATGGTTAGGCTCAGAACAGGGGGGCAACAAGAGAGAGTATAAGAAGGCATCCGATTTTAGCTACAGTTTGAAGGCACATTTCCTGAAGAAATAGAATTGAATGATAAATAGTAGAACTTAGGATTCTTGACCCAAGCAATTATAGGAGTAGGTGAGGCAGCAGGTGGAACAGGCTCTGCAGGGATAAGATCAGATGTTCTATTTTGGAAATATTAATTTTAAGTTTGGTACTAGGTATTTCAAGAAGAAATAATGAGTAGGAGGCTAAAGTGTGCACCTGGAGTTCAGTTGACAGGTAAAGGCTATAGATATGAACTGGGAACTCTGAAGCATGTAGAAGTTTATATTTATAGCCATGACATGGAGGAGATTCCCCTGTGGAGCAAGTGTAGACAGAACAAGTCTCTGCAGACAGGCAGGAAAGAGGACATGGAGGAACATCCTGTGGGAGGTGAGGAGAACCAGAGGATGCAGTTGGACCTAGAAGCTGGCTCCTGGGGAGAAGAGAGTGAGCCAGCAGAGTTGAATGCTGCTGACACATCAGGTGACTTCCAAGCCATTGGTGACATGGACAGGAGTAGTCTCAATACAGGTGGATCCGAAATCCTGATTGGAATGGGTTCCAAACAAGATGAAAGGGGAAGAAATTGAGGCAGAACTTATGGGCAACACTTAAGAGTGAAGAAAAAGTCCAGTATCTCGTATAAAAAGTGGGATAAGAAGTTTTACTTGTTAAAGAAAATAGTAATGTCGTTGTATGCCAATGGAAAGATCTTTGTTCACCTGAATTAATTGAATTCACAGTCTTTTTTTTTTTTAACGCCACACATTTATTCCACTACTTCATTCCACAAGTGTACCTTCCCCCTCTTTAGTAGATCCAGTTATTATTCCTATAGGAAACACATAATAAGATGTCTTTGAGTTCAGTTTTAGTTCATCTGTTCATTGGGCATATATAAACCATCTGGCAGTGCTAAACAGATAAGCTTGTTATATTACTTTGGCCATTATAATATTTGATTATTGTATTCCCTTATATAACTATGAAGGCTATTTTGTTAAGCACCGTTATTGAATTTGTTATTTAGTTTACAGGGTAGTAGGAGGTGTTGTAGAATCGTTATTTAGGGAAGAGATAAGATTACTCTGTAGATCTTCTTCAGAAATAATCCTTCCCCTTCATTGCTACATGACTCAGGTCACTTAGTTTGTGGTTGAAAGGTGCTCACAGATTCTGAATTTGTCATTTGCTTTATCCCATCTAATTAATTCACAGAGAGTGCTGTCCTTTTACCTATGCTATTAGGCTTTGACCTTGGCAACTTGTAGAGACCTTCTGTGATCTGACGTGTGAAAATCTTGCTTGTTCCAGCTTCAAGGCCTCTCACATTGCTAGACACCTCTTAAGCTGGTTGAAATCGGTATTTTAATAATCTGAAGTCTCTAGACATGATTTTAATTGAAAGGGGCTGCTTAACATACATCATAGACTATTTTACACTATGTTCCTTTAGTATGATTCTTGGGCTAACCAGATCATATACTCATATTCTAAAACATAATCAGGCCTTAATGAGGAATCAGCTATCTGAAGGGACAGTGTGCTGGTGTCTCTTGGCCTATGGTTTCCCTGAACAGGGCTGGCTGAGGACAGTCTGTTGGACTCGGGTTCTAGACATGCTCAGACTCTGCAGAGCTAATCTCTCTGTCCCTGAGGAGAGCTGTGGTTTGGTCAGTTAGATGGCCCCCAACTGTCCAGAGCTTCAAAGTGGGGTGCTATAGATTACATGACTGTGTCTTCCCAAATTCATATGTTGAAGCCCTAATTAGGTTTAGATGAGGGCATGAGGTTGGAGCCCCCATGATGGTATTAGTGACTTTATAATAAGAGAAGAGATAAGAGCCCTTCCTCACAGTGAGAAGGTGGCCATCTGTCAACCAGGAAGAGGGTTCTCACCAGGCACTGAATCTGAGGGCACTTTGACCTTGGACTTCCAGCCTCCAGAACTGTGAGAAATAAGTATTTGTTGGTTAAGTCTCCCAACCTGAAGCTTATTACACCCTTAAGGAAAACTTTAAGGGGAAAGGGTACTTTTCAAACAACCAGGACCTTGTGAATGTACTTAAAAATTAGCTCCTTTTACATAAGACCCAGATTGAAGGGGCTCCCACCAAATTTAGAACAGTTTGAGAAAAATATATAAGGACTGAGAGCAAATATATATTCCAGACTTCTCATAAATATAGAATCATGGATGCTTACTTTTTAAAAGTTTATATATATATATATGTCAAGGACAGAAGTGAAATATGTATTTATTTTTGAAGTTAATTTTAAAGTTTACATATATACACACATATAGAATAATTCATATAATTATAAGATACTAAGTATGGAATAAGCAGAGAGAAACAAATGGGAGAGGAGAAAGGGCTTTGGCGTGCAATAGAATGCTGGATACTGACTGGTGAATGTGGAGAAGGTGCTGGATTGGGAAAATCGTAATTCTGCAGTCATCACAGAAGGATTGGATTAGTAAAAGTCATCAGTATGTAGAAAATGTGGGGGGAAATTCTTATGAGGAAGATAATATTTGCATAGTCTTAAAATGTCTCCCAATATAATTAGCAAGAGAAAAAATAACAACTGTACAGCAGAGAAGCCCAATAATACATTGACTGAAATTACCTTGATCAAAGTTAATACCACTGAGGAGACCAGGGGGTTATGGTGCCTTTCAGAGGTGATACTCTAGAAAGAAGGATGCACCTTTGTTTTCATGATGTTCGGGCTAGGAGTGAATCTAAGTATGAGGAAGCACCAGAAAACCCCAGATAATGAACATCTCATATAAGGGATTGTGTTCTTCAGAAATGCCTATGTCATGAAAGATAGAAAGGCTGAGGAGACTGAGACAGGACAGCTACATGCAAATCTTGACTGGGTTCTGAATTGGAGGGAAAAGTGTTCTAGTGGATGTTATTGGATCAGTGACAAAGTTTACATATAGACAGTAGATTAGATTAAAGAATTATACCTGTAATAAACTTATTGAAATTGATGTACGTTGTGGTTATGTAAGAGAATGTCCTTAGTCTTGGGAAATAAGCACTGACATTTTTAAGGGTAGAGGGCCATGATGTAGGTTACTTACTCTTGAACCTTTTAGAAATGATTGATAGCTAGCTAAATAGTTATCAGTAATGGTCTCAATGGTGATTAATACCTAGTTAGATAGACAGTAAATGGATATAGATATAAATTATATAGATAAATAGAAAGATAAAGCAAATGGGGTAGAATATTGATAATGGGTAAAGGGTTCATGGGAGTTTCATGTACTATTCTTGCAATTTTCCTGTAAGTTTGAAATTTGTTCTGAAACAAGTTGTTTTGTTTTGTTTTTTTTTTTATCCAGATTTTTTTTTTTTTTTCTGATAGAGTGAGAGGGAGAGAGAGGAAGAGAGAAAGAGACATCAACATGAAAGGGACATATCGAGTGGCTGCCCCCCACATGACCCAGCCAGAGCCGGGGACAAACTGCAACTGGGGTACATGCCCTTATCAGGAACTAAACCCGGGTCTCTCTGGACCACAGTCTGACGCTCTAACCACTGAGCCAAACTGGCCAGGGAATTTTTGTTTTTGTTTTTTAAAGAAACTTTTTGATTGATTGATTGATTGATTGATTGATTGATTCACCCATTCATGCAGGATTCATTGAGTGTCAGTCCCAGGTCAGGCCCCATTCTTCATGCAGTGAGCCACACAGACAAGCTCTGGTTCTTATTAAGCTTCTGTTCTAGGGGAAGATGACATAAGAAAAGAATACACAAAGAGCAACCAGAAAGTGTCAGATGGTAATTGTAATTCAGAGAAAGGAAATGGGGTCATAAGGTGGTGATGGGGGCTGATGGGGTAGATCCTGTTAAGTTCAGGGGAATGGAAACCTGATTGAGGGAAGGAGTCAGCCCTGTATCCACCCAGGAAAGATCATTCTAGGCCCTAGGACCAGCCACTGCAAAGGCCCATCAGCAGGACAAAGAAGGGCTTGCTTGAGGAGCAGAGAAGGACTTTGTGACTGGGGTTAGGGTTGGAAGGAGTCAGAACCTTGGGCAGGACTGGATCATCCAAGGCTTTGTCAACCATAGTAAGGAGTTCTGATTTTATTCTAAATTGGAGAGGGAGTTGACTGAGGTTGGAGCAAAGGAAGTAACATTAATGAATTCATGTTTTCAAAGATCACTCTGGTTAGGAGTATGATTAGTAGGGGAACACTGAGTGGGAAAAGAAGCCAGCAGACTCCACCAGGCACCAGGAGAGGCCGCCCCATGTCTCTCCCCACCTTATCCAACCTCCCTGACCCCTAGTGATGTGAACATCTGTAGGATTGGATAACTGTACAAGCACACTCTCTTTTTTTTCTCTTTTATACCAAAATATATCTTTAGTGAAGTCATTCCGTGCCTCTCAGCAACTCTACAAATTAACCAGATTTCTTTTTTCAATATTACTTTGACTAATGACCAAAAAAAAAAAAAAAAAAACACATCTTTCTCCTTTCTTTTTTTTAGCTGCTTCCAGGCCTGAGTGTTAGGGAACATAAATGTCTAGAGAGACCCAATTCCACAAGGAGAAAACCACTATGAGGACCCAGAGAGGCATTTGTGAAATTGCTGGAGCCCTTAAAATAGGAGCAGGTGAGAGGGACACTGGTCCCACTGACACTCTAGTGCTAAATGAACAACTTAAAAGGAAATAAGGGCTATGGTTTTTCTTGCTTGTTAACACATTACCAACTCTGTTTCTACCCTGTGCCACAGCCACCCTTTTCTAGAACTTGGAATTCTGAAGTCTAGGGAGCCAGGGCAGTTTTGGGAGAACACTCTAAATAGCTCTGTTTCTTTCACTGTCAGATGAAGTGAAGTTTTTCTGAGACTGAAGGGGCCTGGTGACTAGGTTTTTGTGGTTCATAGATGGGTGTTTTGTTGAGGCATCATCCTGCCAGGAAGCACAGGAAAGAAATGTGTGGATTAGAGAAGGGTCCTTCACAGCAATGACTGATTCTCAAAGAGTGGGCAGCTCTTGTAAGACCCTTTGAACTTCAGGCTGTGTGTGTGTGTGTGTAGGTTCAAAATGTGGCAGTGGGTGTTTCTAGAAAGACAGAAGTTTTAGTCAGTTATTTTGATGGTTATGAAAAGTGGTTCCCTTTTATATTCCCTTTGGATCTAATGTGCACTGCTCTCAAGCACTTTTCTGTTACAATCTGGATGTGCAAATTAGGATCTAGGAAGCAGATTCTGGTAAGGCTTAAATGGCCCCAAACAGATGCAAGGTTTCAAGGTGACAGTGGGAGATTGGCCCATTGCCAAGAGCAGTGTGGGAAGAGGAGGGATGTATTTCACCAAAGTTTGTGGCATCAGTTATAATCAGAGAACTAGGGTGGAATGGAATTTTTTTTATTTTTTTTATTTTTAATCCTCAACCGAGGACATTTTTCCATTTTTTGTTCAGATAGAGCGGGAGGGAGAGAGAGGAAGAGAGAGAGAGAGAAACATCGATGTGAAGGGACACATCGAGTGGCTGCCACCGCACGACCAACCAGGGCCGGGGACAAACTGCAACCGAGGTACGTGCCCCCAGCGGGAATCGAACCCGGGTCTCTCCGGACCGCAGGCGGACGCTCCAACCGCTGAGCCAAACCGGCCAGGGCAGAATGGAATTTTTTAAAAGAATTTTTGTGTGTGAATTTGCATTTTGTTGAGTAAACAAAATATTCCTCATGAATCCACTTCTGCTCATTATTTTGCAGTACAAATAGGTGAATCAATAATCGAACGTAGTAATTTTAGAAAATGCAAGGAAAGAAAGCAACATCAGCATATCTATTGTTTCTTCTTTTGTATATCCTCAGTGGTAGTAAATGATCCTCCAGTGAACATGACTTTGAGTTTTGGATGTAGTCACAAGATCCTCAAGTAGGAACAGTGTGTGGGATCTGCCTGTTACCATTTATGGTGAAAGAAACAACAAAAGAGGTGATTGTGCAACCCTGTGAATATACTTAAAAATGCTGAATTGCACACTTTACATGAGTGAGTTGTATAATATGTGAATTATAGCTGAATAAAGCTGTTAGGAAAAAAGGCAGCACAAAAGACTAGACAGGCAGACAGGTTTGACTGAAGAAATCAAGTTTCAGAAAGTCACACAGGAAACAAATCATACAGATGTACACTCATCATCTCCATGGGATGGTCCACTTATTTAGTGATTTTATATTAGCCAAAGGTCCATAAACTGGACTAAGGAGACAGTTTTTCTGAACCAGGAACATATTGTTTCAGGGTTTTAAGTAGGGTCAAGTGGACTGGTGGACTGATTTTTGGAAACCACTAAAATGATTCAAAGGTAGGTTTGATGATTAAGCAAATCAAGCTGAGAAATATCAACACAGTAAAAGTAACAACAGAATGCTACAACAGACATTTCTTTTCAGAGATCCTATATACTGACTCCATATGTGATTACCCACCTCTTTCACCACTGAAATTAGCTAGTTGTCTCACACTAAGATCCAATGCCAAGGTAAATGTGACTAACTGAAGATTTGTGGTTGACCCATATAGTTAATTGTCTTAGTTGGGTTCCTCCAAAAACGGAACTGAGTCAAGCCAATACAGGGAGTGTTCACTGTGGGTGGTCGCTGTGGGCAACCAGGACTCAGTGTCACTGGGCAAGTCTCAGGGCCTCTGTGGAACATGCATCAGAATTACTCAAGCCAGGGAGCTAGGAATCGGGGATGCTTGTCCATTGATTCCCATCTGTCATTTGTTAGCACTGTTCTGGGAGTATTGGTTGGCACTGCTGGCCTGCCCTGCATGTGGGTGAATGTGCCCTCCCAGCCAGGAACAGAACACTCAGGCAGATTTACAGGTGTTAGCAACAGCCTGTGCTGGGTGGCCATGGGGTGCCTGGGAGGTACACACAGGGCACCAACAGCATCTGCTACTTCAGTCCAAATCTGCACTGTCCAATAGAGCCTTCTTCAGTGATGTTTTGTATCTGTGCCACTGGACACTTGAAATATGACCAATGTGACTAAAGAACTAAAATTCTCAATTTTACTTAATTTTAATTTATTTAAATTTAAGTGACTACGTATGACTAGTGGTTACCATCATGGACCATGAAAGTCTAAAAATATTAGAAAATTAATCCCTTGATCTTCTAATTGGAGTTACAAAGTTAGGTATCAAGATGACTAGAATAAAGTGAGCAGTATCTAAAGATGTATTTTCATTTCCCCTTAAATCTTCACTTTTTGTGCTTTAGTTAGATTTCCAGTTTTTTGTAGCCAATAGGTAGGACTTGGTAGCTCAGCTGAAGATAATTGCTAATTAAGGCAATTCAACCAGTTTTTGAATGACTGCTATATGAAGTCCCCAGCTCTGAATATAGAAAAAAGCAACATTCTGGAGCCTTCATTGATATTTCTATCAATGCCCGTAGGACTGCCCAAGTGCTTGACTTGGTCCAGGGCAAAGCTGCTAAGGTAAATATTGTTGCAAGGGGATTACTCAAATTATTTGTTTGGTTTGCTACCTATAATTAAAAACAGTATTGGTTAGGCAATTTTGTTCAATTGTATTGACCAGCTCTTTACTTTTGGTATGTGATTGAAGATGCCCATCAGAACACTGGGTTAAGGGCATGCAGAAGATTATTCACACCTGTTTCTTCCTTTTTTTTTTTTATCCTCACCTGAGGACATTTTCCCACTTTGTTCAGATCGAGTGGGAGGGAGGGAGGAAGGGAGGGAGAGAGAGAGAGAGAGAGAGAAGCATCAACATGAAAGGGACACATCAAGTGGCTGCCTCCCACATGATGACTGGGTGTGAATCGCAACCAAGCTATGTGCCCTTGACTGGAATCAAACCCGTGACTCATTAGTCCTCAAGCGGATGCTCCAACCGCTGAACCAAACCAGCCAGGGCTATTCAAACCTGTTTCTGAAAAGCAGCCTGAATTATGAACAATCAATTTTTATTGAAAACAGGTAGCAACAATATAGAACATAAATGACAGATATAATGAATGGACACTTGGCTTACCTCACGTTCTCTTTCTCCCCTTCCTTGTCTAAGGCCGACATTGCCAATCAACCGCAGTGCTCTTGCTTGTGGACCCAATATAGAGCTTCTGGGTCTTTCCTAACACAACACTCTTGGCAGATATGTCAAGCCAAATAACATTAGAATGTTCATTAGGAAACAATGAATCATTTCTGTCATACCTACCAGAAAAGATTGAGTGAGACAGAGATCACTTTTAAGAGGCTTTTAATAGAGTTTTCTGTTGTGTTTTTTCTTGATTCCAGAGATGAAGGGCACTAACATTACAGCCTATTTCCCTCCCCTGGCCTTAGCCCTTAGGTTAGAGCTCCTCAAACTATTCCTGTTTTGTAAGTAAAATTTTATTGGACACCTCCACATGCATTTGTTATGTGTTGTCCGTGGCTGCTTTTTTGGTATAACCGCACGTTCGAGACTGAAAACACTAAAATATTTTCTATCTGTCCCTTTACAGAAAAGTTTTATAACCCCTGCCCTAAACTCTTCTTTTGACTTTTGTATAGGAGGACAAGCTCTACTTGCTGTCGGCACAGAGAGCAGTGTTAGATTAGCCAGTACAGTCGTCCCTCGCCATTTCATGCTTCGACTTTCACGGCTTCACTCTATCGCAGTTTTTTTCAAATATATTCATTAAAAAGTTGATTGAGACAGTGAAAATGATACAGTGCACTCTCGGTTGTCTGAGTCAATTATACACCCCTGTATTACAAATAAAATTAAAATTACTGTACGTATGGGCTTGTAGGCCTATGTATTCAAACACCCCAGGAATCCTTCAATGCCAGGTGCAACCACTAGAGTCTGGAACAGATTAACCACGATGAATGAGGGACAACTGTACTTGTCCTCTGTTGATCTGGGTGAAGCTGGTGAGCCTTATTGCTCAGGAAACTTCTAGTTTGTAAAATATGTGTGAACTTGATATATGGCCATGGCGCAAACTTTTAACCTCAGCACATCATAGTTAATTAATGCCAGATACATAATTTGTGAAGCCTACTCTGTAAGTAGGCATGTCAGCCTGGGATGAGTTGGTTTTGGGGTTATATTTTGGACAGTACTTAGCAGGTGGCCTTAGTCCAGCTGGCCATTCTGAGTCTCTGTCCTCATCATTAATATGAGAATATTAAATCACAATCCTTGTATGTAGCTATTGAGGTAACATTGAAGTAAGGATTAAATAACAAAATGTATTAAAGTGTTTATCCTAGTGTTTCACACCATTAAAAGCCCATAAACGGTAGCTTTTCTTGAAGCAACCTGTTTTAGTAAGTAGATGATGGATTAGGAAAATGGGTATGCTCGGAGCAAGCTCATATCTGCCATGTGAGTGTCTTTGGGAAGGAGTCTCCATTCGTACTTTGGGAACACTTAGCTATAGCTATGTAACAAGTCACCCCAAAACTCAGTTGTTTGAAACAATAAGCACTTACTCTGGCCCATGAGTCCATGGGTCAGCTGGGCATTTATGCTAATCTCTGTCAGGCTCAACTGATCTCAGCTGGGCTTGTTCATGTGTCTGTGATTACATGGTCAGCCAGGGTGGCCTCATGTGTCTTGACGTCTGTGATGAGAAATGACACAGCATCAGTTTTACCACATTCACTGGCCACATCAAGTTACAAGAGCAGCCCAAATTCAAAAGATAGCTCCACTAAGTAAAGAAGGAACTGAAAATCAGATTGCAAAAGGCATGAATAGGGGTGAATGAAGAACTGGGAACATTTTTTGCAATTCCTCTATCACATTGACTCCTTCACCAAGATGATAGAAAATAAATCAAGAAATCATATGCCTTTTATTTATATGAATTATTAAAGTCAGATATTCAAATATTTTTAGCTGCTGCTATTTCCCTTTATAAAGAAGACAGTGACTATACAGTCTTTACCAATAGAAAGAAGTTGTGAAATGAAGCTTTTGCTTTAGGAAGTCACATGGTAACCCAAGCTCCTTCTTGTTCTGTCATACTTGCTACAGACTTTGGCCAGTAGAGCCTTTGATGTGAGAGGATTTAATTTGGAGCTTGCCATCCACCGTTTATCTCACATGTAAGAAGGTCAGCAAACCTCAGGGCCTGTTGGCTAGTTGCACATCGGATTTCTTTCTCTGACATTTTTACAAGCATCACAGCCCTCGGATTTCTTTATGAAGGAGCCCTCTAGTTCTTCCTTTTCAGACTTGTGATGTTCCCTGAGTCTGTCTGTGCATTGCCACTGAGGTCACTTGGGAAGTGAAAATTGTGGCTGGACAGTGCACTGTCTTGGCCTCTGAGATCAGGCAGTCCTGGCTGACCTGCTGGTTTGATCTCATTAGCTACTCAAAACAACCCCAGTTGTTTGGGGTTGGACTAAGTAACTGTTGAAAGCATGAGGCGTTAAGAACTTGGGTTCTAGAGTCTAATAGAACATGGAAACCTGGCTTCGCATGTGCAGGTGTGACCTTGGGCAAGATGCTGAGCTCGAAGGGCTTCAGGCTTTACACTCAGTCCTTTCTGTCAGTACTTATGATGTGGGGCTGTGGAAATAGCATGTGTTAAAGCTTGTGATGCATCTGACTTCAGTGTGAATAAGCACTCACTCGATGACAGCTCTTATTATCAAGATTATTTTTATGATTCCGACTACACTTTAGTGAGCCTCTTGGCAATTTTTAAGTCTGCATTATATGACTGGCTCTGCCTTTTCAAAGGGGTCTCCTCTGCTTTCTTAGGCCAGGTCTGGAAGGCCCTGTTTTGGTGGAAACATTCATAGATTGCCATGAAGATGTCATTTCTGATTTGCATAGGGATTTTTCACATTTTGAAGGGCATAGCTCCTCCTCAGAAGAGGGACACTTGCCAAGCTTCGAAAGAGCTCTAAACTTGCTGAATTGTGGAAAGGCATTCTTGGACACAAAGCTCCCAAAAAAGCCAGACCCTGTTTGTAATGAGTTTGAATGCTTCCAGGGCATCATATTACAACCTCTGTGTTGTATTCCCATGGGGCTCATAGGGCTGTAGCGATGGTTCCCATGGCTGTGTGCAGCCCTCTTTCTAATCATGCCGGCCAAGTGTTAGTGGGGCAGTTGTTTTTCTGTCCCCAGGTTCCTGTTTCGTTTTGTTTAGTTTTCTCTGTTCAACATCTGTGTGGGTGTTGGCACCACAGAAGGAAGCTTGTAGATAAATACACTCAATGAAGAATCCATGAGAGTATTTATTCATATGCTATCTCTGAGTCTGTATCATAATTTATAGGAGAACAAAAGGTCATTTCACTTATTTAACTGTATAAAAATACTGATATTTTCTGTCTTATAAGGAGAAGTAAAAGGAATAGTTTAGGAAAACTGAATGCAAGGTATTGGAGTATTAGAAGAAATATAAATAGTTAAATAAATGTTGGAGTTCACATTTCACTTGGCTTCCACATGGTGTTTCAGAGAGATCCACCCTGATCTACCTACTGAGTAGAACTGTTCTTAATCCATGGCTGAGAGTTTTGCCAAGCACTGAGGGCTGAGGGCCAGAGACTGATGGGGGTAAAGACAGAGCTGAGCTGGAGATAGCCCTTGTCAGGTCCTGACCAAGAGCTGGGTTGTTTGGATGCAACTGAGTTAGTAATACTTTTTTTTTTAATTCTCGCCCGAGGACATTTTTCCATTTTTTGTTCAGATAGAGTGGGAGGGAGAGAGAGGAAGAGAGAGAGATGGAGAGAAACATTGATGTGAAAGGGACACATCAAGAGGCTGCCACCTGCATGACCAACCAGGGCTGGGGACAAACTGCAACCAAGGTACACACCTTTAGCAGGAACCGAACCCGGGTCTCTCTGGACAGCAGGCAGACACTGTAACCGCTGAGCCAAACCAGCCAGGGCTAGTAACACTTTAAGTATTTATTAATTATGTTTAACCAACAGTAGATTGGATAAAAGAGGCAGAGGAGTTCCATGTGAAAGTTAAGTGAATTCTGTATCATCCCCAAAGGTCTTCCTTGTGATGGTTTGTGAAGCAAGGAATATTTGAAGAAGTGACAGTCTTACTGGAACTTGTACCCTTGCATGTGTTTTGTAGCCCATCCCTGTCACTGGGACTTGAGGCATGTATAGGATCCAGGGAGTAGTGTCAGATCTGTAGATTTGGGATAATACAGGTTGAATTGTGTTACCCTCAAAAGATATATTGGCATCCTAATCCCTAGTACCTCAGAATGTGACCTTTTTTGGAGATAGGGTCTTTGCAGAGTAATCAAGTTAAAGTGAGGTCATTGGGGTGGGCCCCAATCCAGCACAACAGGTACCCTTTTTAAAAGGAGATATTTGGACACAGACACACAAGGAGAACACTATGTGAAGATAAAAGCAGAGATTGGGGTGATGCTTCTACAAGCCAAGGAACGCCTAAGATCGGCAGCAAACCACCAGAAGCCCGACGAGAGGCCTGGAACAGCTCCTTCACAGCTCTCAGAAGGGACCAACCCTGCTGACTCCTTGATCTTTGTCTTCTATACTCCAAAACTGTGACACAGTAAGTTTCAGTTGCTTAAGCCACCCCATTTGTAGTATGTTTTTGAGGTAGCCTTAGCAAATGATTACAGTGGGCATCATGGTAAAAGGTATGGATATTCTACCCATCACCCTACTGGAGAGTTTAAACTATCCCAATAGCCTGTGTGAGGAGGAGTGAGGTGGAGAAAGAGCAGTGACAGGACTTGGGGCCTAATATATTTCCAGGTCACCCCAAATAAGTCTAGGTACCACTTTGCAACTAAGATTTATATACCTCTAATAAATACCCAGAAATAATATGACAAGGTCCAGATTTACGCCTCCTGTCTAGATTTTCTGTTTAAAACAATAATGATAATATTAAAAAGTACGGTTGTACTGTGTCACTGTGGCGGGAGCAACACGACCATACAGGGTGATGCATGTGTAGGTCACACTGAATCTTCACTGCAATGAATGAAAGCATCCTTGGACTCTTTTTGAGGGAACTGAGGCCACAGAGGCTATAGTGACTTGCAAAAAGTTAGTGACAGACTAGAGTTCAAGTTCAGGACTCTTGACTTGCAGGATCTATGATCTCCCCACTGTGCTATAGAACCAGTGGATGGTTTTCTGGCTAGGATCACCTGGAGAGTTCTTGAAGTACTGATGCTTTGACCAGCCCAGAGGGGCTCAGTTAAGTGGTTTGAGAGGTAGCCTGGACATGGAGATTTTTCAAATCTCCCAGGTTGAGACCCAAAACAATAGGCAAACAAAATATTTTATATTGAACATTTTTTAATTAATTTATTTTTGTTACAGATATTTCTCCCCCCTCCCCAGAGGCCCTCCTCCTGATCCCCCACACCCCCAGTATTGTTGTCTGTGTCCATTGTTTATACATACATGCATATAAATTCTTTTGTTTATCTCTTCCCTCCCCCCTGCCCTCCTCCTCTGAGGTTTGTCATTCTGAACCATTCTTCTTTCTATGTCTCTGGGTCTATTATATTCTACAAATAAGTGAGATCATTGTGGTATTTGTCTTTCTCTGATTGGCTCATTTCACTTAGCATAATACTCTCCAAGTCCCTCCATGTTGTCTCAAAAGATAAGAGATCTTTCTTACTTATAGCTGCATAAAAGTTAGCTTATTGAGAACTTCTCACAGAGGTTGGTGAGAATCACCTGGGAAATTTTTTTTTTCATACAGATTCTGGGGCCTTACCCAGGCATAGTAGATCATAATTTCCAGGGGTGGAGTCCAAGGATCATACCATACCAAAGATCCAAAAGTCATTTGAGGATCTTACAGGTTTGGCTTCTAGAGTGTGTTCTAGAGAGATTCTATGCTGGGAAGGTCACTGTTGACTTCCTGTGAAGTCATGCTGTGACACCCTATCTAGTGGCCAAAGGAGCATGGCCATTTTTTCACTTCATATATTCTAAAGGTAAATATAGTAAGCACTAGAAAGGACCTGGGACTTAGAGATGGTGTTAATACACCTCCACTCAATAATTCCCAGCACCCAGGAACCCTGTTTTGGACTTTTACAGAATTGTGGAAATCTGCCAAATGGAAGCAGTTTCCCATTCCATAAGCTGATAGAGTACAGCCTTTTTTACTATCTTAGCTGAGTTCTTTGTTCTACAGATGAAGAAACTGAAGCCCGTAGAGCCTGTGGCCACCTATCTAATCCCTGAGAAAGGAAGTCTAGGATTGGAGGCTCCTAATGCCACCTGGGTCATTTTCCTCATTGTCTCTCTGTTTCTGACCATGTTCTGATCTAGCTGCAATATGTTGGCCACATCTCTGAGAGATCTATGTTCAGAACTGGGCCCATCCTTCCGTAGTCACCATAATGTGGTGATAAGCAGAGTTGTTTTTGACCAGGACCTTTGCTAGAACTAGGGGAGTCTGCCCAACAAGAGCAAGAACATGCTCCACAGTACATGGGTTAGGGCAAAAGGAGTCAAGGTTTCTATTCAGAATGTTCTGCGGAATGAATGACATAGCATTCTCCAGAATGTCACCCACACCACCCTGGACAGTTCCTAATTCTGCATCCTGTAGACCTGTGCATGTCATCTTGCATACATCAGGGCCCCTCTGTCCAGGGGTGGTCCATCATTCTCTGTGGAAAAGAGACCTTGGAGAGGTAGAATTATGTGGTTGAAATGAGCACAACATTTGGGGTTGGAATCCTAAGTTTAAATCTCAGCTCTAACCATTAATTGCATTGGATCAACTGATTAGGTTCTCTGGGCTTCAATTTTTTTAATCTCTAATAGTATTTGCTTTGGGAGTATTTGTGAAGAGTAAACAAGATAGTGAGTATCAAAAGCATTTTCAAACTTTATAAAATATTTTTTATTATTTTATTGTCATTACTATGGTTGGAATATTGGTCTACATTAGGTTGATATGGAAACGCAAGATGGGACATCAACTTTGGTTTGTACCTACAGGAACAGTTAAGCACCAGTTTCTATTTGTGAGTTTGGCTTTCTTGTGCCAGCCTTCAAATAATTTAGTAGTATAACGCTCTATACAGTAAATTAAGCTAAGTAGCTCTCTGTTCTCCTGAGGCTTAAAGTCTAAGACAGAAAATATTGGCAGTGACAAAGATGACTCGGCCATTGGCCAAAGCAGGTTTATTAATTAGTCAGCCTTTACATCTTGCCCAAGCACTGTGGGAAACTGGAATGGAGCCATAGCACCTGAACCCTGGCCCATATACTCATCATGATAAATGTCTGCTGAGTTGACCATATTAATCATTGGAGAGATCAGATGATCAGATTTAAGATCATATTTATTTATGGAACAAAAATACATTAGACTATTGGGCAATCATTAAAAATTAGGTTGTTGCCCTACATGGTTTTGCTCAGTGGTTAGAGTGTCAGCCTACAGATGGAAGAGTCGCCAGTTCAATTTCTGTTCAAGGTCATGTACCTGGGTTGCAGGTTTGATCCCCAGCCCCTGTTGGGGTCATGCAGGAGGCAACCAATCAATGTGTCTGTCTCACATTGAATTCTCTTTATCTCCCTTCATTCCTCTCATTCTATCTAAAAATCAATGGAAAAATATCCTCGGGTCAGGATTTTTAATAAAACTAGGTTGTTGAATATTGAGTGACATGGGAACATATTGATGATAAATGTCCTGGTGCAAGAAAAGCAAGTTATAATACGGAAATATATGTACTACATGTTAAGAATGGGTTTCTGGGGGAGAAAGATGGCATTTTTATTTTCATCTTTTGCTATTTTTCAAGGAAATACTAATTCTATATGATAAATGTGGCTCCACAGAAGACGTAACACTTGAGTTGGCTCTTGATGGATGTGTAGGAGTTTGAAAAGGCAGACGAGCCATCCTGAAGAAAGGGAGTAGCACTGGTGGAGGCAAAGAGGAATGAAAGCCTATGTCCTGTTCTGGAAATAGCCAGCAGTTCAGGCTGAACCACATATAGATGGTTGATCAGTTTGCATTTGCAGTGAAGTCTGGCTGGAACAGATGGAAGGACTTGTGAGTACCAGGAAGCAGTGTTGGATAAGTTCAATGAAGTCAGATTGTGGAAAACTTTACAGGCCTGGTAGTAGATTTAACTCATACAGGGAAAGGGGATTTGGACATGATTTTGCAGGTGTTTTATGCTTGGTTATAATATTGGAGCTAAAGGTGGCTTGCCCCTGCCATGTTTTTCAAAGTGACTGGATCATGAACTTCATTTGTAGCCAGTCCTGATCTGGAAGTATTTTAAACCTCCATTTTGCCATAGTCATGGAAATAAGCCCTAGTCTCTGAACCTGGAAAGAATCATAGTGAACTTCACTTCTGAGCATTGGTTTTTGGTTGGAGAAAGTAGCTGAGTATCTGTGGACATCTCACTCTCCAGTGAATAAACAGGACAGAGGTCAGATGGAGAGAGCAGTGAACATATGACAGTAAAGAGTATCACTACATAATTTAAAATGTGTTTGCCTCTTAATTTAACTTAATTTTTTGCTACCTTATTATTTTTAAAGCTTAATAATATGGTTGAGATATATACTTGGCTGAGTTTATACTGGTATCACCAGTTCATCTCTGAATAGTGCTTGCAAGCGTTCTGAATCCTAATTTATACATCTGTAGATACAGTTTTCAAAACTAGTTATAGCTTTGTATACATATATGGTTTGGTCTTGGGTTGGGTTTCCCAAGAATCAGACTCTGACATTAGATTTTAGTTCAACTAGTTGATTTGGGATGAGATCTCAAGAAGCACTGGTAGGGGAGTAGAAAGTGAGACAGGCAAGGGAAGGAAGTCAACAAAGAATATAATAATAAGTAGTTCACTTCTTTAGGTAACAGGAGTTCAACTCATTAGGGACCATTGGGAATCTACAGAGAGTACATGCAGGGCTGGCTTCCTTAAGGGCCAAGGAAATCACTGGTTGAGGGTTACTTCTATGGGAAATAATTCCACAGTACTCCTGGCATTCTGCATATAATGGACTGAACTTGCTCTGTGGCCAGAGAAAGCCATCAGACAAGGAAGAATGGGGGTCAATGGAGTATGGGTAAAGCACCCACTACTTTATGTCATGTGGACCACTTAGTAGTAAAAGTAATGGTGAGATGCTAGATGTTTTTCCTCCTAAGATCAGGAATAAGGAAAGGATGTCTACTCTCACTACTCCCATTCAACATCATACTGGAGGTTCTAGACAATGCAATCGGGGAAGAAAAGGAAATAAAAGTTTACAAACTTGGAAGGAAGAAATAAAACTGTCTTTGTTTGCAAATGTCATGATTTTCTATGTAGAAAATCCCCCCAAATTGAAAAAAAATCTCATGAAACTTGATTATAGCAAAGTTTCAGGATACAAGCATATAAAATCAGTTGCTTTTCTATATATTAGTATTGAATAATTGGAATTTAAAATTAAATACACAACACCATTTACATTAAGAGCAAATAATGAAATACTTAGATATAAATCTAACAAAATATACACAAGATCTATATGAGGAAAACTAGAAAACTA